CAACCATATATGGTCAATTAATACACAATAAAGGAGCCATGGATATACAATGGGGAAATGACAGCCTCTTCAACAGCTGATGTTGGCAAAACTGGACAGCTACATGCAAGAGAATGAAACTGGATTATTGTTTAACCCCATACACAAAAGTAAAGTCAAAATGGATTAAAGACTTGAATGTAAGTCATGAAACCATAAAACTCTTAAAAGACAAGACAACATAGGCAAACATCTCCTGAATATAAGCATGAGCAACTTCTTCCTGAACACATCTCCACAAGAAAGGGAAATAAAAGCAAAAATGAAATCATGGGACTACATCAAACAAAAAAGTTTCTGTACAGCAAAGGACACCATCAACAGAACAAAAAGGCATCCTACAGTATGGGAGAATATATTTGTAAATGATATATCCAACAAGGGGTTAACATCCAAAATATATAAAGAACTTACACACCTCAACACCCAAAAAGCAAATAGCCTGATTAACAAATGGGCAGAGGATATGAAGAGACAGTTCTCCAAAGAAGAAATTCAGATGGCCAACACACACGTGAAAAGATGCTCCACATCACTAATCATCAGGGAAATGCTAATTAAAACCACAATGAGATATCACCTCACACCAGTAAGGATGGCCAACATCAAAAGACTAAGAAAAACAAATGTTGGCAAGGATGCGGAGAAAAGGGAACCCTCCTACACTGCTGGTGGGAATGTAAACTAGTTCAACCATTGTGGCAAGCAATATGGGGTTCCTCAAAAAACTAAAAATAGAAATACCATTTGACCTGGGAATCCCACTCCTTGGAATTTACTCAAAGAATACAACTTCTCAGATTCAAAAAGACATATGCACCCCTATGTTTATCACAGCACTTTTTACAATAGCCAAAATATGGAAGCAACCTAAGTGTCCATCAGTAGATGAATGGATAAAGAAGATGTGGTACATATACAGGATGCAATACTATTCAGCCATAAGAAAGAAACAAATCCTACCATTTGCAACAATGTGGATGGAGCTGGAGGACCTTATGCTCAGTGAAATAACCCAGGCAGAGAAAGACAAATGCCAAATGATTTCCCTCATTTGTGGAGTATAACAATGAAGCAAAACTGAAGGAACAAAATGGCACCAGACTCACAGACTCCAAGCATGAACTAGTGGTTACCAAAGGGGAGGGGTGTGGGACGGTGGGTGGGAGAGGGGGATTGAGAGGTATTATGTTTAGTACACATGGTGTGGGGGATCACAGGGAGAACAGTGTAGCACAGAGAAGGCACATAGTTGATCTGTGGCATCTTACTATACTGATGGACAGTGATTGCATTGGGGTAAGGGTGGGGACTTGATAGTACGAGTAAATCTAGTAACCACATTGTTTTTTCATGTGAAAAAAAGCCTAAAAAAATAATAGTAATAATAAAATAAATAAAAATAAAAAAAAGAAAGCATCTTGTTCTGCCCCCAAAAAATTAATTTCACCTGTTTCTTTTTATCTTTTTATGACAGAGATGGAAAATGGTAAATCAACCATAAGTTTAACGGAATGGTTAATAGGAAATGTAAAACTAGTCTGTGGCTTGTGTAATTTTCTATTGGATAGCACTGGATTATAGTATTAAATTCATTCGCTCAACAAACCTTTATTAAAGACCTAATTTGTGGAGTACAGGATAGTAAGGGCCAGACGAAGAAGAAAGGGATCAGAAACAGTTCTAATGGATGCATTCCATCTCCTCACTGGATTAATCACCCCTAGAAACTGCAGCAACCCAAGGTTAAAGGAAGCAGCTCATGGCCCCCCAACCCCACCCAGCTGCAGAGCGTTATTCCAGTTACAGAGTGGGTAGCACCAATGTTCAAACCTAGAGCATCTAGATGAGCCTCTTATCTTTACAAATCAACCAACTGAGATCCAGAGAGGTTGAGACAGCCAGCCAAGACCACACAACAGGTGTAGGACAGGTAAAGGCTGATGGCAAAGGCTTCAGAGCTCTTTCCTGGTGTGTCCACATCTGCAGCCGGCAACCTGAGGCCCTGGGCTTCTCCCTTCCCTGTGGATAAACACTCCACCAGCTTGCACCTCATAACAGCACACAGGACCCTTGAGAACAAGTCTTTGAAAGTTCAAGGGACACACCAGAGATTTGTGCAGCCAGACCCTCCCACCTTCCAGCCCAGAGAAAACTCACAGGCACGCCTACCCAAGTCCTTCCTCCCTCATCCCCTTTCCTGATGGGACTCCCCAACTTTGTGAAGGAGACAGGCACAATGCACTCCTAGGAAGTGGAGAGTGAGATGGTGGAGGAAGGCCCCAGTCCCGCCCCCATCCACGCTAGCCCAGAGCCTCTGTGGTCAAGCTGTGTAAGTATGACCCAGGACTTGCAGAGACTTCATGAGACCAGGGATCCCAACAATCCCCAGAAAACAATGAACCACATGGACGTGGACATCAAAAATGATGCCAACTGGTCTCACATTAACCTCCTGCCACTCCACCCATGGAGGTGGGAGACCTGAGCGGGGTGGGGAAGAGGTGAGCAGGGCAAGCTGGGGGTCCCCCACTGAACCAGGCACAGGGGCTGGAGCCAGGAGCCAAGGAACCAAACTACCAGAATGGCCTGTCCCTGCCACCCCTGGGGGCTGAGGGTGACTCCAGGAAAGGGCATTCAGGCCAGCTTCCAGGCAAGCCAAACCCCCCAAATCTTACAGAAACTTAGTAATTGTGACCCTCCTCCTGCTTGACTGGTGATCAAAGCGACAGGAGGTGGCTTCCACTCAACAATAGGGGAAGTAGAACGTAAGGCTTAGGAAAGACCATTGACCACTTGCTGGTCTACCTGGGTACCAAACCTCAGTTTCGCCACCTGAAACAAGCACTTACCCATTGCTCCTGCTTTCAGTGAGGGTGTCGGGGATGGGGGGCTAAGAGGGGAGGGGTGTTGCTGAAAGGACAGGGAGCGGGGCAGGGGGGCGCCAAAGCCTTTTATCAGAGAACGAGCGATTATTTTGCTCCGGGCGCTGTGCAAAATGCCTCCCAGAGGTCATCTCATTTAATCCTCGCGGGGACCCCAGTGGTGGAGATGTTAACTATCCCGTCTTGCAAACCTGGATATTGAGGTTCAGAGAAGTGCAGCGACTCGCCTCAGGGCGCCCGGCTAAGAGGAGGCGCCGGGAACCCTCGCTACTCCCGGGTCCAAGCCGGGCGCTCACAAAGACCAACGCGTCTCGGCTCTGGTTTCTTCCGGCGTGGGCTGGGGCGCATTTATCAGCTCGGATATTGTAGGCGAGGGGGCGCGAGCCGGGCCGCGCAGAGGGCCGGGGGAGAGCCGCGGCCCCCTCCCCGCCGCCGCCGCCGCCGCCCCCCTCCACTCCGCTCCCCTCCCCGTCCGAGAGCGACCTCTCCCGCCCCGGCGCCCCCGCGCTCACCTCGCGTACTTCGTCTTCTGGAAATCCAGGAGCCGGGGAGCGAACATCGCGGCGGTCCCATTAGCCCCCGGCCCGGGCTCCGACCGCGGGCACCGGGAACGAACGCGGGAGGGCGGCGGGAGGCGCGGGAGCAGCAGGTAGGCGGGCGCGGGCGGGGGCGGCCGGGGGCCGCCGGGGGCGCGCAGCCCGGGCTGGAGCCGCAGCCCGGCCGCCGACGCCGATCCCGGGCAGATGGGGGCGGGGGCGGGGGCGGGGCGGGGGGGCTCCGGGCCAATCGCCTCGGTCCCCGCGCCCGGCCCCCTCCCCGCCCGGCGTCGCCTCCTGACCGCGCTGGGGGGAAGAGAGCCCCGGGAGGGAGGGGGCTTCCGACTGCAGCCTCGTGCTCCGCTCCGTGCGTCCCCTCCTCCCGGAGTGTTTAGAGCGTGGACACGCCTGGCAGACGGAGTCCCCTCCGGAGGGGAGCGGCCCGGGGCGGACTTGTAGCGCTCGCTCCCGCACCGCCGGCGCCTCCCTCCTTGGCGCCCCTGCGAGACGCGACGGCCGCAAGGGGTCCGCCGGGAATGGCCGCTGTCTGGGGACCCCCACCTAGAGGCTGTGACTCTGGGGACCCTCATGACGCCCAGACCGGGGACACACATGTGGTTGCCGGATTCCAGCGTACCAGGGATCTGCTCACCCCACTCTGCATCTTCTACAAAATCCAGCTTTCTCCTTTCTGAGACCTTGGCTGGGATATGGGCTATGGGAAGCCACCTGCTGGAAGAGGTGACACCCTTGGGGGCTGCTAGAGGCAAGAACCTTCAGCGAGGAAGGACAGGTGCCCAAATTGAAGGGCAGGCCCCTCCTTCCTGTACACACACCTCTGCCTCTTCCCCTCCTCTCCCTTGGTTCCCAGCCCCAGACGACCCCCTGCTACTTCTTATACCAAGGCTGAATTTGAGATCCTGCTACACATTCAGAAAAATAATCCCTCCATCCCAAGGTAGCTAGAACAAGATGAGGGAGAACGACAAAGGCACTCCATCTAATTCATTTCTATGCTCCAATGCTGGGTGCACGGTGGGCACACCTGTTATTGGTGAGGACCAGTTAGATGCATTGAGTAGGGGGGGATGGGAGTTGGGTTTTCTCCAGGTAAGCTTGAGATCAGGGAGAGCATGAGTGGAAGGCCAAAGGGTAGACAGCTGTGAATCAGAGGGTCCAACTGGGCAAGAAGCCCACTGGCTGAGGAGGGGCTGGAAGGACTAAGCAGAAGGTTCCCTTAGAACTGTGGGTTTCAAGGTGTCAGCCTGCAACTACTAGAGCTGTGACTTCCAGTACAGTAGTCACCAAACAATAGCCTCTAGTCCCCTGCCACTGTTTACTTCTGTGTTAAATAAAATGTAAGATGCAGTTCCTCAGTTGCACAAGCCAGATTTCAAGTGCTCAACAACCACGTGTGGCCAGTAGCTACCATCTGGACCTTTTCCAACGTCACAGAAAGTTCTATGGGACAACACTGCCCTAAAAAATCATGGTGTCAACTGAGCAGGCAGGGAGCAGCATTATAAAGAAATGGAACAGAAGAGACATTCTGGAGCACATTGTACAGGTGAAAAGCAAGTCATGTTCAGGAAATTTCAATTGTTTGTATACATTTTATGTCTCAGTTGGGATGGAAAACCTATTTCTTACTGGAGTCACGGTTAAGAACTGGCGAGGCTCATGGCTGTAGTGACCAGCACCTCTTGTCGTCTCAAATAGAGAGAAAGTGAGGCTGAGAGGACCACGGAACCCTCCCAAGGTCACACAATCTGGGGGGCAGGGCTTGCCCTGCAGCCCGGCTCCCCGGGCTCTGAGCCCCTTGCCCACACATGGCTCCTGTTGTAAGGATTTCTCAGACCTTCAGGAGCCTGGATTCAAACCAAAGCAGGTAAGGCTGTGCCCCGCATTTCACGGCTCCCCTGACCTTGACATCCATCACTGTTGCTCTGACCCTCCCGCCCCAGGCCTCACTGTCAGCCGCACCATGACACACCTGTCCTCAGTTGCCAGCCTCTCTTCCTCCTCAGCCTTCAACCTCAATGCCCAAAAAGATCCCTGCTGGCTTCGCAGAAGGGAAAGCCCCCAGGGACCTGACCTCTCCATGGCCCCCTCTTCCAGGGAAGTCCAGGCAAGGCTCAAGACGCCTGCTGGTAACCACAGTTCCCCACAGGATGAGGGGAGCCACAGGTCTGGGGCTGGACTTCCCCTGGCTGCTGGCCAGCTGACCTCCCACTGGCCACCCCCTGCTGTCAACTTTCAAGCAGGTCTTGGCAGTGGGCTCAGCGGAGCCCAGAGGGAGACCCTCAAAAGGAAACACAAGTGTAGAAATGGATTAGCTTTTTCTCCAAGAGCAAAAGAAGTTGAATAAGAAATAAGTTACTATTTTTACTGCTAGGTTCTGGTTGTTATGGCAACCAAGGGCCTGACTCCCGCCAGTCAGCTTGGGCTATATGAGGGTAGCAGCGGATAGCAGACGGGCCTTCACGGGGCCCCAGGGCTGCCCTCTACTCACCACTGACCCTCCTGGCCCTGGGGTGCAGTCCCTGACAGCTCCCTTGGTCCCAGCCCACCTCCCGCCTGCTCTGCAGTCTCAGGCTGGGCCCTGCCTTGTCGCCAGGACCATGCAACTGTAGGAAGGTTTATTGACTCATTGCAGCCAGGGAGAGCATGCAGCACAGGGACCTGGGGCGGGGGTCTCGTAAGGGGCTCAGGACTTGGACTTCTGTTCGGTGCTCAGGGAAGCTTGAGGAAGTAGGCCCCTTTATTGGGTGCTGCCAGGATGCAGGACTCACCCTTGATTGGATATCTTAATGAGGTATCATTAAGATACCTCAGGGGGTAAGCTGTAACTGGTAAAGAAGGGACAGTCATTTGTTTTAGCCAGGAGTGCAGGGATATTTGGTATTTTTGTGCTTGACACAGCAACCTTATTTTTGTCTGTGATTAGACACATTTTCAGGTTTTGGTTTCCACCTCACTTGAAGTATATCAAGGCACTAAGTGCCTTGTCCGGCACTGGTGAGTGTCACGTGTCAGGCCAGCTCCTGGCTGTCAGGGGCTACTTTTCAGTCTTCTTGTTACATCTGTCTTCTTGCCCAGCTCCTCCTAACCAGTGGGGACTATGATCACAGGCAGAGCCAGGTTCAAGGAAACATTCAGCCCAGGTAGGTGGGCAGTGAATGGACAGCAGGTAGTCGTCACACCTAACTTTTCTGTCCTTGGCTTTGCCATCAGCTAGCTATGTGACCTCCGGCCTCTATTTTTATGATCTGCAGAATGGGAAGAAGAGTGATACTAACAGGTGCTCTTAATAAACACCCTGCTAGATGTTTTGCAGGCACCAATCTTGTTTTCCATCTCACAGTAGCTGCCCAAGCTGGTGCCACCATACAGAGGGACATTAGGAGGTATGCTGTCATGCCTCCTAAGGGGGACATTATGGACCAACTTTGGGCCAGTGGTTCTCCACGATAGCCTTTAGCATTTCTTGGGAGGCTTGTGAGAATCCTGGTGCCTGGGCCCCATCTCAGAGACCCTGGCTTCGTTGGTTTGGGAGGTACTTGTTACCTGTGTTGTTTTAAGGGCCCCTCCTCCCTTGGATGAAGCTAATGGTCAGCCAGGGTTTCAAGAATAAACCTCTCCCAGGGCTCTCCACCCCAGGTCTTTCTGTCCGCACTCTCCTCTAAACACTGCCCCACAGACACATCTATTAAAGTGATTTAAGGTCGTAGGAGAAAATGTAAAAGTGGAGTACACTCTGCGGACAGGCAGGGACAGTTCTTAAATCCTGTCACCGCCTTGCCACACCCAGGGTCACAGCAGCTGCCTTAAAAGCAAACATGTTTGAAAGTTCAGATACCCACACTGAAGCTGTCTTTTGTTTTCTGCTTTGAGTTTAGTCCAAGTGGGTCTCAATATTTAGTTGGTGTGAGAATTACAATGTAGAGTGAGCACACTGCTGTGCTCTGTGGGTGACTGAAGGGATTTTTAGGGACAATCTTAACCACAAGTCACGTTGGCCTTCTAAGGCTCTGATAGGGAGGCACTCAACTATACTAGCCCTGTTGTAGGAGTCAGGAAACCAAGGCTTAGAGAGGCCAGCTGGCTTACTCAAGGGTGAATAGCTGACAAACACGGAGCTGGGATGTGAACCCAGATTATCTCCCTCCAGACCCCAGGCTCCCAACGCTGTGCCATGATGTCACGCCCCCTAAGGATAAAGGTCCCTGGCCCACCAACCTCAGAACAAACACATGGGCTCAAAACATGAATGAATGCATCCCTTCTTCATTTCAGCTCCTATACTTTTTTGCACTCTAAAATTTCCATGTGATTTTTGTTGTGATTTTCATTTCTCCGCTGAATCCCTTTTTTGTTCAATAATTGTGCATATATCTTTCCATTCTTGAACATATTTATAATCACTGCCCTGAAGACTTGGTGTGCTCATTGCAACATTTGGACCACTTTGTTTCAATTGCCATTAACTTTTTTTTTCTTGTAATGGGTCGCATTTTCCCATTTCTTTGCAAGTCTGGAAAAAAAATTTTTTTTTGTATACTGAGCATATATATAATGTATATAGAATTATGAAAAATACATTGTGTACAGTCTGAATTCTGTTATGTTCCTCTGAAGAGTGTTGAATTCTTGTTTCAGCAGGTCATTAACTTGACAGGACTCACACTCAAAATTCTGCCTCCCCAGTGGGTGAGTTATTTCAGCTTCTGACGGCTGCCTTGTCAACAGTGCCGTCCCCACCCACACCGGCAGTTCAGTGGTCAGCCAAGGTTTAGATGGATTGCATATTCAGACTTTACAGCTCAGCCCCTCTGCAGCTTCTTCACTCCCAGAATCACACCCCGGAAAAACTTTCTGGCTCTTCTGTCAGCCCTCACTTAGACGCTCTGAGACTCCGAGCCAGAAGACTGTAGGTTTTGAGGAGTGTTCTCTTCTAAACTCAAAAATGTCACTGTCTTTCAAGATTCACTCTAGTTTCTTTCCGTTCGTGGTCACTCTCTAGCACCTTTAAATGGCATCTGTATCTATATCTATACCTATATGTAATCTATTTATATATAAGTATGGATGTGCATTTATATGTGTGTATATATATAACACATATAAAAATAGCTTTTTAATGTACATATACCTATATACCCATATATCTCATATTTTATAATATAT